GGCCGGCTCGCGCTCTAGGTGAAGGCCTAGTTCACCTAGCGGGCGAGCCGGCCCTGAATGTTCTGTGCGCCTCAGCGTTTAGTCATGCCGACCACATGACCACGGAAACGTCTTCAGACAGCTCTGGCTCTTCAGCTTGGAAATGGAGATGAGCACTGCCTCCTAGAGTTGGATTCAACTGGCTTTCGAGCAAGGGAAACATTTACCTTTACTAAGCTTGCATTTAGAGCAGGGGTCATTTCGTAGAAAAAGAGCTGCAGGGGCTCATTAGCATAACCTATTCGCATAACTTATTTGCATATGCCACACCCCCTGACATCACCGGAAGTGTGTCAGAAGGCAACACCCACCGCTCAGACTCCACTGGACTGTTTTGGATTGCTATCTATTGGGGGGGAATGTGCAGATCTGCCTTCACAGAGGAGGGAGAGCTTGTACCTGAAGGCGGCCGGGGGGGGGGCTCTGCAACTTACCTGGCTGCTTCTTGTTCCTTGTGGCCCGACTGAGGGCTGCTGGGAGCAGGGGGTGGGGCTTGTTATATGTGCCCGCCCCCTGAGCTCCTTACTGCCGGAGCTCCATTCCTGTGCGCTCCCGCAGGAAATGACCCCTGTTTTAGAGTCCACCCTTTTTTGTCCATGATTGTTTGCAACTCTGCTGGTAATAGAAGCTGATGCTGCCATGCCTGATCCTCATTACAGTTTCTGTCCTGTGATTAATAGTCTTTCGGCACCACTGCTTGACTATTTTAATTAGTGCTGGTGTGGTTGCAGAATACAGTTCAGCTGAATGCCGGATCCCTGGAAAATGTCAAATGGTGGAAATTAGTGCAAGTGTTTGTATAAGAACATTAGTTCCTTGTGTTTTACAGGAAACAGTTAAATACATATTGTGCCTGTTACATGTTGTTTGTTTCTGGTAGCCAGAGGTACTAGAATGCCAAGAAGGCTCCTAAAAGCCCTATTACTACAAATAACTCTTAACCTCAAGGATAATATCTTATTCTCATTAAAGAGTATGTGGCATGGGTGTGGCCAGCAAATGACTAAGAGCCGCCTTTGGTAGATGGAGAGCTTTCAAAAGGAAGCCTGGGAACTTTGGAACTGTTTAAGGAAACACTGTTGTCATTCAAGTGTGGGAAATGAAATATTCTGGAACTGGGTCCCTGTTAGGTCCTTCAGAGCATATCTGGTTTTTAAATGATGCCAGGCTAAGTATAAGCTGAGTGTTCACTTAAGAGCACAGGAGTATTGCGGCTGCTCCTCCAGAGGCCATTTGTGTTTTTTTAAAAATGATGCTTCTACGCCTCATGCCTTAAACATTCTTCTGAACTCACTGGAATCGGTTGCAGTTGTAAAAGAATGTCACTGTGATACATTTCTCTGAGGAAGTCACAGCAGTGTTTACAGTAGCACATTTCAGTATCAAGTGTGTTGTAGAGTGTTCGTATTCTCCCAGCAGCCCTCTGAAGTAGGTTAGGCTGAGAGATGGTGACTGCTGCAGCTTTCAGTAGGACTTTGAAAATTGGTCTCCCATATTTTAATGTTCAGTATTATGCTGTTCTATTTTGTTATTTGTTTTAAAATAGTTATACTCCACTCTCTCCGAGAAAATGTGTTTAAGGAGACTTACAGCATTAAATTAAAAAATAAGTGGGAACCATAGGAGCGACAACAGCATAAAATGGGAACAAAACTCTTAAAAGCAGCATCAAGTGGGTGAATCCTGAAAATCTAAAGCGCCATGCCTAAAAGCCATAACCACAAAAGCAGTAACAATCTACTTAAAACCACCAGTGAGCCAGAGATGAAAGACAGGAGATAGAACTTCAGCTGAAAGGTTTACTGTGGGAAGAAAGGCATGCAAAAAAGCACAGGAAAATGAACGTATCTTTGCCGGGTGCCTAATGAATGTAATGAAGGGAAATGAACGTATCTTTGCAGATCTGATGCCAGGCAGGCCATTGAAGGGAGTTTCAGGGTTTCTGTTGTGCTACGACAGGATCTGTGTGTCTTCTGCTCGCCCACCTTGCTTCTGACAGTGGAGGCTGGTTTGTATGACAGAAAGTAATCTTTCAAGTGCCATAGTCCCAAACTGTGTAGAGTTAGCTGGGTCTTCAGAAGTGTTTTGAATCAGTCTTCTGAATGGCTCAACAAATTCTTATCACTAAGGAAAGCCAAAGTAAGAATGTTTCAAGAAAACAGTGGTATAGATCTGTTTTGGCAGCTGATCATTGTCTGCAGGATTTGGTTTTCAGAAGCTGCCGATTTACTGTCTGCATCTAGAAATATACAATTCCGATGAAGATGCCAGTTTTGGTTTCCACAAGAAAATCATTGAGTGAAGTTGATAATAACAACAACATTGAGGCAAAATGCCACATTAATATTGCTGTAAACTGTAATATTTATGACAAGCATGTAAGGCTGGCTAGTGCTATTTCCAGGTTCTCTGTAGAGTTAGGGCTGAGGTTGAGAGAGGGTGGATCGCCTGAGGCAGGGCTCCTCAACGTGGTGCCCATAGGTGCCATCTGACACCTTTTCTGGAACCCAGCAAGTGTTTTTAGAAAGTAGGCATAGCCATGTGGGGTTTTTGCCCAGCAGGGCTTCTGGTTGGCCACTGGAGATTTGATTGGCTGTGCAGGGTTTTTTTTAAATGTTACTTTGGCGGCCACTGCAACTATCGCACAAGGATCTGCTGTGTGACTGCAGGTAAGCTGGTGTAACCATTTTGTACTTGGCTCTACCTCATGCAGGAACCGTTTTATGGCAGCACCCACCACACTGTGTCAGAATTCCAAAAGTGCCCGCAAGCGCAAAATGGTTGGGGACCCCTGGCCTAAGGAATCCACCTTTTCCTTAAGAAGCTGTAATCTCTGCCCCGGCACGTTACCGATTTTTGTTCTGTCCTTGAAACACAAAGAGCACCCGTTTAGCAGTACAGAAAAAAAAAAATAAAGCTTAAAAAAATTGAGCGTGGGATTAGCGGGATTAAGACTTGATGTTTGTTTAAGATGATCAGAAGATCTCCTCTCTTGGGTTTTTAGTTAGTAGTGGGTATCTTTCTTTTATCCCATAAATGTAGTCCCCCTCCCACATTTTCTGTTGTAGTTTGTAGTATTATAAAAAATGCAATACAAAATCCCCTCCAGGGGCATAAAAAAAGAGCATGTTTTTTTGGGGGGGAGGGGGTCTTCTAGGGGATGCACAAGTTACTCTGCGGCTGCCTGCAAGCTGCTTAGTACCTCGCAAGTTACCAGTTGGAGACCCCTGGGCTAAGGTCATGTTATGTTTATGGCTGGGCTGAGATATAGTCTGCTGCTTTTTGTGCACATTCTTAATCACACAACAAATGAACATGGGAGCATATTTGCTGCCTATTAGGTACAACTTGGCATGGCTGATTTTAAATAAAAAGTGCGTGTACAATTCCATAGTGCCCATTTGTTTAATCCTGACTCACAGCTAAACAAAGCAAAAGAATTAGGCTGGGTGACAAAAATAATTTCACTCTGGCCTAGTAACAATCCTGGGCCTGAGGCTTGTCTCTGAACTTTAAAGGAAATTTCCACTGACAAATAACAGTGAGGCATAGCCTTGAAACTGCCAGGCTGAGGCATTCTCCTAGGTTTCAAAATGTTGTTTTTTACTCAGGTAGAGCTGTAAAATCACTTGGAAACTGAACATGAAACGATGTGCTTTTCTTATGTGCTCAACCAGCTGATTAGAAGTACCCAGTTTAGACAATGGTTTGCTTGAATAAATGTCTTTCAGTTGATATTTTATGGATGTGTGTATATTTCAAGAGTCTTTTTGATTTGAGAGCTAAGCCGTTTGTGTAGCCATTTTAAATAGAAACTCTTCAAGCAAAATAGATTGTATTTTGTGAGTGAAATTTATCTCCATCTTCTTTATGTGTTGTTTCCTCAGTTGTATTAACAAGTTTCTAAAAACAAAATCAGTGATACCTTTCCCAGAGTGGTAATGTATTTCTTAATTTTGACAAGCAACATGTTTGAACTGAAACTATATTTTATGGAAATAATTGTTCCGCTTGGCCCTTGGTGGACCATGCAGGCGGAAGTGAGCATAACAGTTCAGTTAAGGAGGTTAGTTATAGTCGTATTGTGTCAATAAGTTGTTCCTTGCAACAGAATCCTGGTGCTCTAGAATTGAGATGCTTCATACGCACTATGTATTAGTCAAGCCTCAGTTTTAAGCCTCTCTCTCTCTCTCCCTTTCTCTTTCTCCAGGTTTCATTCTGACTTCGAAGAACAGAAGAAAGACATCTGTCCCAGTTCACTTACGTCTTTTTGGCCTCTTTCAAGAAACCATTTCCTGGCCTTTCTCCATCTATGACTAAAGGTTCTACCATAGCCTCACCTCTTGCCTTCCAGTTTCAGAAGATGGGCTCATTCCGAAGACCCCGGCCACGCTTCATGAGTTCCCCAGTGCTGACAGACTTGCCACGTTTTCTGGCAGCTCGGCAGTCTCTGAATCTCAGTTCCAGTTCTGCTTGGAACAGGTGAATAGAATCATATGACACTTCCTTAGGCTGAGTCACATATAGGTCAGTTTATTCTCATATGATGGGCCCTTTCCTTTACAGCCCCTGTTTATTTGGAGGCAGGAGAAATTGAATGCAGTCACCCCTTCAGGTGATGTGCATGTGCTAACTTGTAGCTCCTACCATCTTTATTTATTAGTATAGTTGTGTGATTGGAGTGGATCCCGTCAGTCTAGCATCCCATCCCTATGATGCGACATATGTGAAAATATCGTTTCTCGGGGAATACAAGTGTCAGTGTGGTGTAGTGGTTGCAGTGTTGAACTGGGCTTTGGGATACCCAGGTTTGTACCCCCCACTGTGCTATGGAGCTTCTTGGGTGACCATGGGCCAGTCACTCTCTCAGCCTAACCTACCACACAGTGTGGTTGTTGTGAGGATAAATGGAGTGAGGGCACACAAGATCATAAGCCACTTTGGGCCACCATTGGGGAGAAAATGGGGCATAAATATATAATAACCTGATCGGTTGGGGAGCCTGTACTTTCCCCCATGGCTATCATGTCTTAAGTGGCTATGCAATACAACATGAATGGAAAACCTGATGACCTTTTGTGTAATGCAGTTCTTGATTTCCTCCTTTTCTTCTTGTGATTGATAGTCTTCTGTGATAAATCTACTGCAATCCTCATATTTTATGGGATTAGCTTGCATACTGATAGCAAAAAAATTCCAATGATATTCTTGCTAATGAATATGTTATACCTGCAGTGCAATGGTCATGTAAAGGCAGACAGCTAATAATGGCAGTACATGCTGTAATGTTACAACTCTTTCTCCCTTGGCATGTGCGTAAGTACTTTCTGCTTTGCGACTGATTGGCACATAGGTAAACAAATCTAACGTGGGGGAAGCAGAAGCAATTTAAAGAACAATTAATCTCGTTCTCCCCTTACTGATATATTTACATGGCTCTTGACTGCAGTTTCATTGCTCAGTGTAAATCACACTGACATGCATTGTTTATGGCTGCCCTAACTGTCTCGCTTTTATTTGGCAGCGTTCAAACGGCAGTGATCAATGTGTTCAAAGGGGGAGGCTTGCAAAACAATGAACTCTACACCCTCAATGAACATGTCAGGTAGGTTGCTTGGACTCTGCTCTATGGCATGGTGTGCCTGTTGCGGAATAGGTGGTGTGACCGAAAGCTGTGTCCTTGCTGCACTTTATTATATTTATATGCCGCATTTTTACTGGCATGCTCAGAGCCACTGACACGCTAGCTCTTGCAAGAAGCAGCGGCAAGAAATCAAAACAAAAACGTAGCAAATGTGAGAGTCTTTCCCCCCCTTCTCTGTACAGAATAATTTTGTTTGGGGCTGGGAGGCTGGTGGTGACCCTTCCCTCTGCTGCTGAAAGCATTATTCACCTGGCAAATTGTAACATTTAGGACATCATTGTCAATGTTCCCTCTAAGCTGTGGAGTCTAGTGAGCAAAAATTCTACTTTGTGAGCTACTGGCATAAAAGTTGTGAGCGAGCACTTTGGCTACTGCATAAGTTAGTTTGCTCTGGAGCCATCCTTCCTGAGCCAGGACAAAAATGTGTGAGCCGGAGGCTAAAAAACTGTGAGCTAGCTCACACTAACTCAGCTTAGAGGGAACACTGATCATTGTTGTATGTGAGGTCTGAGGAGTCCCTTATCAGCCCCCTTGTGTTGCACCCTAACCGCACTCCGTACAAATTGTTCAAATAGAACCGAGTTGCCACTAATGTCACTCGCCCTTCTAAGAACTTTGGTGAAGAGTTTTGTGATCTGTTTATGATCAGAGATACAGTTCTGTAGTTTTGTTTTTGCATGATTCAGGGCAGGGCAGGATTCACATTCGGGTTTCTGTTTTGATGCTGGACTTTTGAGAGGATGGTTACTTTTGAGCTCCCCTTTCGCTTTCTGTCTATAAGAGGGTATATGAATTCTCACGCGTTGATTAGTGAATTATTTATTCTGTGTTCTTTCACCAAAACATGGATCTGTATGACTTGCAGGATCATGAAATCTATAAAAACATCACTGGCACCCACAACAGTCTTAGTCAGCAGACAAAAACATAACTAGTTGCAGTTATGGTAGATTCACAAAGGGGAGAAGCTTGAACTTGGGGTCATCTGTTCTTCTGCAGGTGGTATCTTGTGAAAGGTGCTTGTCGTATTGGCTAGTGTTTTGTGATGCGTGCTTGCTCTTGGAAGTTTAACTGATGTGGACTTCACACTTTGATTATGAACACCAGTGCAGTTGATGAAAATTTGATAGAGATGACTGCTGGCCTTCTGTAGCATGGGATGTTGGTGTCTACCTTTATTTGTTTGATGTCTGTAGTGTGAAAGATCTTGCTACATGACTCTGGCTCGAAGAAAGCCCATTGTGACTATGTAGCTGATGCTGGACAGAAATCTATCCATAATATAATTAAATCCTCACATACTAAGGGTGGTCAATACATTTCAGCTGCCCTTAAACTATTTCAGGCTAAATCATTGGCTTACCTCTTATATGGGACCATGATTGGGCCACCATCCTCTTGTTTTATCCCTCTGGAGGGGGTGCAATCAAAATTCCTGGGAGCAGCCCTTCAACTACCCTGCTGTGCAAGGCTGGTGCCAGGTTTTTTTGCACACTAGGTGAGGCTACCTTCTGGCGCCCCCCTCCCCCCCGTGCGGCCACCAATTTTCAAACGTAAATGCATTTTAGGAAGAATGAAAAACACAACATTTGGAATTGCTAATTTCTTTTTTTGTAATTATGAGAACAAGTAATACAATCTCTGATTTTCTCAAACAGAAAAACACAAAGAACAATTACTTTTTTTTGTAATTATGAGAACAAGGAATAGAACCTCTGATTTTCTCAAACAGAAAAACACAAAGAACAATTACTTTTTTTTGTAATTATGAGAACAAGGAATAGAACCTCTGATTTTCTCAAACAGAAAAACACAAAGAACAATTGAATAGTCTAAGAAGGTATGCACAGCAAACCACACTTAAATGCAGTTTATGGCACACAGTTGATTCCTATGTCAGAAAGGTCCTGTTGTCTCTCTTTCATTCTTAACCCAGGAATTGAACCTGGGACATAAGAAAAGAAGAGCCCTGCTGGATCAGACCAGCGGTCCATCCTGTCTCACACAGTGGCCAATCTGTCCTCTGGATGGTCAACAATAGGGTGTACAGGCCGAGGCCTTACCCTGATGTTGCCTCCTGACTCTGGGATTCAGAGACTGTCTGCCTCTTAATGTGGAGGTTCCCTTTAGTCACCATGACTAATAACCACTGATAGACCGCTCCCCCCTGAATCTGTCTAGTCCCGTTTTAAAGCTGCCCATGCCTGTGGCCATCACTATATCTTTTGGCAGCAAATTCCACATTTTAATAACTTGCTGTGTGCAGTATTTTCTCTTGTCCATCCCGAATCTACTGCCCATCAACTTCATTGGAAGCCCTCCAGTTCTAGTATTTTGGGAGAAAGGAAAAAGCACTCTCTGTCTACTCTCTCTACCCTTTGTATAAACTCTGTAAACTCCTAGCCATTTCTTTTCTAAATTGAAAAGTCCCAGACTCTTCAGCATAGGGAAAGTAATCCAGACTTTCTTCATACCAATCAGATGCTCTACAGCTGAGCCATGATGTGTCCCCAAGAGGAGAAGGTACTTCCAGAGCACCCACAACTCCGCAGTTTGGCATACAGTCAGCCTAATGACAGCAACGCAAAAGCCCAGTCCTGCTTGGGACCAAATTTGAGTCCAGCAACAACCTTTCCCAAGCCAGAGATCCCTCCACAGCCCTTCTCATCAATCAAGCTTAGCACACAGTCTGGCTTCCTTCCTTCCCAGCCAGCCGAGGCAAGTCCCCTTCCCTCCAGCCCTCGCCGCCCACGTGTGGATGTCACGATAGCCCTGGCGGGGCGGACTAGGCAAGGCACAGAGTATCCAAAAACACAGGCTGAGGTCAGAGCACCAGATAGGCAGAGAAACAAAAGCGTAATCCAAAATATCAGGTCACTCGCACAGTCTAAGGTTTACCGGAGATTGGCAGTCCGAGTTGTAAAGCCGAAAGCCGTTGTTCAGAGTCAGCTTACACATTCCAAGGTCAGGGAGCCAGAAGAACGATGTCATGCAGTCTGGAGTCAAAAAGCCGAGGGAGTCAAGCAGAAAGTCAGGAAACAAGATGTAAAGTCCGAGGTGTAGCGATTCAATCATGTGATCAGTTGCCAGCACGAGGTAGGTAGTGAAGAGGGCTTCCTTAAAAGCCTGTTCCCTGTGTTCCTAATTGCCGGCTGATTATGGAGTCCTGGCTCCAGTTAATACTCTGGACTCAGAGGATGCATCCCACACATGCGTGCTTCCCTGCGCTGGGTTGTCAAATCCCGTCTCCTTTGGTCTCTTAAACAAGCTACAGGTGGAGGGGAATCAGGGGGTGTGGAGCTTGCGCTCGGCTCTGCAGGAGCGGCTCCAGGTGCGAACCCTTCTGGCAGTCGGTGTTCATCCTCTGCAAAACTTACGTCCAGGGGTGCAGGGAGCTCTTCCTTGGATGTGGAAGGTGCAGAGTCCCTGGGATCAGGGTCCACTCGGTCGGGTGGCACGTTGGGCATGACATTAAAGGTGCCACTGGACTGTTTTGCACTGCGGGGAGCTCTGCAGCTTACCT